TATTTGTAAATAAATATTATTTATAAAATGTAAATGGTATAAATTAATTATAAATTAATACAATTATAATAATTATATATTAGTTATTCATTATTAATAGTATTATGAATTTATAATAGGATGTTAAATAAATTAAGAAAAAAATAAATGAATAAATTAAAGTGCATTTTGTCCCCACTATTTGAGCTTTGGGGGGTATTTCTGTTCATTTTGATGGCATTTTTTTCTCCCTGAGCCCATTAATTTATATATATATATACTACAGTATCATAGGTGAGTGAATTCGTTTTTACTTGGATCCGGGACTCAGTCAAGCTGAAACAGCTCTATGTCTGTCAGTGATGGACCACTTTCAAATCCACTTTATCATTGTAGAGGGTTCACAGGTTTTTAATCGGTCCAGTGGGAAGCAAAGTTCTGTTTACAAGTTTCCAGACTCTGCTACATTGTATACTTCTAAGAACAAAAAAAGATGCTAGTTTGAGTTGAAACTAGTTCTTGCCATTCAGTCTTTAAAACATGTTGTAGAGTTTCTGTGGAACATATAGTCACAAGTATCAACTTTGTATTTAAAAGTAAAAATAAATAGATTTAGAAATAAATATAGGCATAACCTGTTGAAGAGTGTAGATCTATACAAAAAAAAAAAAGATTTATTTGTCTGAGGAGAACATTTGGAAAAACTGAGATTATAGCAAAAGTCTCCATTTGCTCTTCATTTGATCTCATTGCTTTCTAGGGGAAACAACAAGTTCAAAAAGAGATCTCATTTGTGGATTAGACTTTATGTCGATAGTCTTGACTATGGGAGACTAATAGTCGCTTGCCCTCTATTGTACTTCTTGGACAGAATTGTCACTGTAATGATCTTTTAGTTTGTTTTCTGACCTTTTGTGTGGTACAAATGAATCTAACTCAAAAAGGATTTGTGTTTTAAACTTCATCGTCTTCTGTGTGTGTCTCTCTCTCTCTCCAGTAGGAGAAAGGATAAGCTGCGGATCCCAAGCGGCTGGCTATGTCATCTCGCTCCTGAGCTCATCCGTCAGCTCTCCACCGACACCGCAGAAAACCAGCTTCCTTTCTCTAAACAGTCTGACGTCTTTGCCTTTGGGTGGGTCCCTCTCTGTCCCCCTCTCAGCACTTGTGTTTTCACCCCTCACTGCTTCTCTGCCTTTGTCACTCAGGAGACGAACAGAATCCATTTTATTTACAGAAATAAGCCTGACCTTTTCTCTCCACAGTTCATGTGCCCTTATAGCATCAGCATTTGGGGATTTTAATCATTTTTGGAAACTTAAAATATAATAACATTTCATTAGGTATAGTATTTAAAACATACTGCATATTGCAACATATGGCCATAAATTGGATTAGATTTTTTTTTTTAAAGAAAGTGAATTTTTCGAGCAAACCTTATTATATTAAGCATATTATCTAATGCAATTACATTAACAGATTTTAGTTTAAACTAGTGCTGTCAAACGATTAATCACGATTAATTGCATCCAAAATAAAAGTTTTTGTTTACATAATATATGTATGTGTTCTGTGTATATTTATTATGTATGCATAAATACACACATACAGTAAATATTTTGAAAATATTTAAATGTATTTGCATGCATATATTTATATTCTTACATTTTATATTATATATAAATTAGTGCTGTCAAATGATTAATCGCGGTTAATCACATCCAAAATAAAAGTTTTTGTTTACATAATATATGTATGTGTACTGTGTATATTTATTATGTATATATAAATACACACACATAGAGTATATATATATATATTTTAAAAATATTTACATGTATATACATTTATATATTTATATCCTTATATTTTATATTATACATAAATATATTTAATATATAAACACAACATATTTTTCTTAAATATATACATGCATGTGTTTGTATTTATATACATAATAAATATACCAATATTTAGATTTTTTTGCACCCTCAGATTCCAGATTTTCAAATAGTTGTATCTCGGCCAAATATTGTCCTATCCTAACAAACCATACATCAATGGAAAGCTTATTTATTCAGCTTTTAGATGATGTATAAATATAAATTTCGAAAAATTGACCCTTATGACTGGTTTTGTGGTGCAGGGTCACATATTATGTAAACAAAAACTTTTAATTTGTATGCGATTAATTGCGATTAATCATTTGACAGCACTAATATACATATATTGAACATATAAACATAACATATTTTTCTTAAATATATACATGCATGTGTTTGTATTTATATATACATAATAAAAATACACATTATACACATATATTATGTAAACAAATGTTTTTATTTTAGATGCGATTAATCGCGATTAATCGTTTGACAGCACTAGTTTAAACATTTAAATCAATCACTTTAACTGGTACACTGGCCATATGAAAATACAGCTATAGTATCAAATGGTATGAAAGTAATATCAATCATGAAATCACAATAATACAAACATCTAGATAGACTATGGCCCGTTTAGGATGAGCATTATCACAAAATTGATTCGCGCAGTGCTCAGCCTCCACTAATAAGATTGTATTCACATGAGGCGGCATGCAGAACTGAACCTCCATCTGTACTTATTTCTACCTGACCCGGGCCTTTCCAGAGGCAGTGATTGTGTGGGCCAAATGAATAAAAGAATGGATGGATGGTTGACGAAATGACGGAATGCTGCTCTGTTGGGTCCTAACACAATTGCGTCCTCAGCTGTTCTCTCCATATGTAGACTCTGTCACACTGTCACTCTATGGGAGCCAAATACAGCACCCACGCAAGCTGTCCAGCTGGTTACACTAAAGGGACATTACCTAGAGGTGACCCCAAAGCAGTTCTCCCTATTGTCCCTTCTGCCTCCTCTTTTCATTTCCGTTGTTCTCTGCGAGTGCCGTGTTTTAATGCGGCAGAGAGTTTGCAGCAGCTGTGGGATATTTTATGCACATAATGCTCTCATGTTCTGTTTTATGGACTTTTTATGATCATTTATATATATACGGCGTGAACTTATATATTATGCTAAAAATTGGGCCAAATTCTCTAAATGGCCTTATTCACTAACCACCCACAAGTCGTTGTGATTCTTTTCAGTACAAACATGCATCCTTTCGATGTAAATTTGGCTAATTATAGTATGCATTGTTCAGCACTATCTGCTCGGCACTATCAACTTTTCCTTTCTGTGGGCGGTAAATGTATTTTTATTAAAAAAGACGTTTATGCATGCTTTCTAGTGATCATGGCAGTGGTAATTAATCAAATGATGATCAAATGATGGAGAAACTGGGCATATGTCCAGATTTGGTGTAGACGAGTGCATTTTCAGCATTTTTTAGGAGCCGATTCAGGTGTCTGGATTACAGTGAAATGGAAAAGTTTCAGTAAAGTACGGCAGATCAGGAAGTCTAGCGCATCGTCTACAAAAAGAACTAAAGGCTGGAATATACCACACAACTTTTAAAATCTGAACAGATTTGAAAACACTAGGAATCATACTCTTGACGACTTTGTAAATAGTTACAGAGAAAAAGTGGGCATTATATACTACACGACTGAGGATCACACTACCGGACTTTCAAGTTGTTCCAAACACAACAAATTCACACAGAAACACAGCTTGTTGTTAGGAGGTGCATGGCAAATTTAAAACATTGTGTTCTAAAATCGGCTCCAAATATTGAACATATGTGATATCAAATAACTGGATGGAATCATAGTCTGAAGCTATCTGTGACCATCATTCACTATGCAATTTTCTATGAAATCTGTGGAGGTTCTTCATGGAATCATCAACACCAAAAATAGCTTTTTTAAATTTACAATTATATGGATATATTTAAAAACAACGTTTTCATTTCAAAATGCTCTCTGTCCACACTAGTGTTGCTCGTCCGCACTGACCTTTATATGCTTAAAACGGCAGGCACAACAATGCTGGTACATCCATAGATATACATGGATACAATATGTGTCACGTGACTAAATGTGTCATCATTTTCACAGTCCACACTACAACACAAAAACATCTTTTAACAAAAACACTGTCTCATTGTGCACAAAGGGCCAAAACAGAAAAAAAGATGCATTTTCAAATGTATCCGAATTAATGTGGACATAGCCGAAGAGTGTATCATCGGGTGCAAATGCAATTCTCAAAGTGAATTCTCCCTCTCAGTACTGCAAAAGCCATCTCAATTACATTGATTTTGTTTTTCTCACCAATCGCAGCAAGCTGCACATTTTACTTTTGGTTTTAAATTGCAGAGCGCCGATGATTGGGCTTTTCAGCAGCGCTCTCCATTCAATGATTGTTAATTAGCTCTTAAGTGTGGTTTAGTAAACTTTAACATGAGCACGCTCTTTAGAGCAGAATAGAGCAGTTTTTCAGCAGTCAACAGCACCTCAAAGTCATTTATTAATTATCTTGGATGACTTCTAACTAAATCGAAATGCAAATGACGTAGTGTACTAGAAGTGCTTTAAAGCTTTTGAACTGCTATTTTGCGGCCCCTCAGGAAGGCCCGTCCTCGTGCACAAACACACACACACACACACACACACACACACACACACACACACACGCTTATGCTTGTGACTTGTGAGTAGTTCCATCTGACTTTTTGTTCTTCTTAAATTAAACAAATTATAATTAAGATCTATTTATATAATTAGGTGTCATTTGACCCATTTACAAACTTTTTTTATTCAGAGAAAGAGCTTTCACTATTTTAGGCACATTTTCAAAACTTTATAAGTACAGACTCATAAACTTGTACACAAATACTTGGAAAAGAACTCCTGTTGTTCTTAAATTATGCAAATTATAATTACGATTTATTGATTTATTCATCATTATATGATATATAAAAATGTGTATAAACATTTTTATCAATTTATGAACCAATTTATGATATTTTAATATTTTTTTCCCCCTAAATACTGTAAGTCAGAGCATTCAGAAATATACTAATAAATGACTAAATGTATTAAAATGTTAAAAGTATATATACGCTAGTATTTTTTAAATGTTAAATCTTAAAATGTATTTAAACTTAATGAAGCATATTACATTTATTAGGATTTGGAGATTTTTTCATTTAATTTTGAATAATTTTAGTAAAGACATTATTTGGCCACTTTACAAACTTTTTGTTTTTAATAGTTTTTACTGTATTTTTATGTTTATACTCTATATTTTCAGACATTTTGCCCTCACAAGTGAGTGAAACAACACTCAGAGTCTCATTTATAGATATAAAGTTTCCTTTTTTAAAAGTTCTTCATGTATTTATATTTTATTTTATATAAATATATTTTAAGACATTGTTTAGCCCATTTACAAACCTTTTTTTAGTTGCTTTTAAGAGGTTTTTATTATATTAATGACAACTTTTTAAACATTTGTCCCTCACAAGTATAGAGAAACCAGTACATGCATGCACACACACTAACATTCACGTGTCGTGTCTTTCAGCACTATCTGGTATGAGCTCCATGCGCGTGAGTGGCCCTTTAAGAATCAGCCAGCTGAAGTCATTATCTGGCAGGTGGGAAGTGGAATGAAGCCCATCCTCACTCAGATCGGCATGGGCAAAGAGATATCCGTGAGTACTATTCACATACACCTCACATGCTGAAGAACTCTTACAATTATCAACTTTTCACACACAAAGCTGTCAAATATAGTGTATGTGTCATATGAACCACTTTTATTGTGCTTTTGTGGTTTGAGCATGACAGTCCCAAAGGAGGCCGTTCAGTTTATTTTCATTGTAAAGAAAAGACAGACCTGGACATGCTTGACTAAAGCATTAAGCCGCAAGAAGCTGTGGTTTACAGTGAATATATAACAGCTAAGGGGTGCTGTTAGGGGCCTAAAACCCCCTTACCTGTTATGAATTCACTGTAAACTTCACAGGGCTTATTGCTTTTATAAAACGATTATTCCATACACGTAGCAAGGTTTCACAAAATGAAACAAAGCAAATAAAATGTAAAGATATTAATAAAAACATTATTCTTCTGCCGAACAATGTAGTTCCTCAGAAACGATTGTGGTTGCAACAAAGTGGTTGCCGAGCAACACACATATTTAGAAACAAAGAGGTGTTTGTTTGTAGAGTAATTTACAACAGCTTTGAATGCGGCTCAACCAATCAGAATCAAGTACTGGAACTATCCATTTTATAATGGCTTTTAGATCACGTCAAATCAGAACCTAGTACTTGATCAGATTCTTCTTTCCCGTGCGTCGCCTGTCTCACCCAGTACACTTCTGGAAATCAGCTGAGTATGTGAAATGAGCTAAGCTAAAGTCAAAACCGCCTGTTTATAAAATAAACTCTAAAGAAAAAAAAAAAAACGCAAAACAATCGTAAGGTAACGTTAAAATGGAGTCAGCGTGACTGAGAGAGTCACTACTGGATGGTGCATGTATTCTGCTGTATTTAGCGACGTTTCCTTAACGCAGTGATCATTTAGCATATTTAGAGCACACACAGTATTTTCTGGTGTATCCTTTGGTCATGAAAGGGAGATGTTTTCTTCTCTTTTTTGTTGCTAAATGTTTGATCTGTTTTGCATATATCAACTGCTTGTGATTATTTCTCATTATCTTGAATGAGTCCACTTTCAGTGAATGTTGTTTTCTTTCGTTGAACCTCTGCAATGCATTTTTATAAACAACTGAACCTAGTGTAATTCGAGTTTTCGTCTGTATTGTTTTTATTCTTTTTGAATTTAGTCATTGGATGAATGTATTTATTTTTTCGATTCTGAGAAATGTACCCTTTGGAGTTGTTTTACACTTGTTTGTTTTCTCTCATTCACGCTGTATCAGTGTTTCTCAGAATTCCATCCCGTCGTTCGAATTTTCGGATCACAAAGCTTTACCGTAACGCAGGGAGGCGCGTATTCCGAGAATGTGAAGAATTTTTCTCCCTTCCTGTCGCACTGTAGATACGGTAGCGCGTACAGCCGTCACTCATTTACTCGCGCCGTCAACATCGTTCGTGCGACGGCGCCGTAATCGAACGTGCCGTCGCGACTCGAGGCACGTACGGTATGTATATTATCGACACTTGAATTGTATCATGCCTAACTGTGACAAAAACAGAATTACCTGGAGGTAAACTGCTATTCCTGAGCCTACAAAGAAAAAAGGATGGATATAACAGACTGTATCTATCTATCACACTTACGAACCTTTTCTTATCAGTGCATACTTACGAATGTTTTCGCATAATTTAAAGCTTTGCGTTGTTTGTACTAGGCTACACATTGTTATATTGTAGAGATTATACAGTACCATGAGTAATAGTGCACTATTCACCACGACTGCATTTGTATATTATTCTAAATCACATCTCATTAATATGACTGTTGCATGTTGCAAGTTCTGGAGTGTCCATGTTGAACGGTGATAATGTCAAAATGAGTGTGAAGGTTGGTGTCACTAGCTAGGTATGGCTTAAACCAAACCGCTATCCCGCTTTCTCCACCATGCACTCTGGGTACAGACAATCTGCTCACTTGTAAAGCCATGGTTTTTTGGGTCATAAACAGTGCCAGTGCTCACAAACTTGTTGCTGCTGTTATTTTTTGAAGTGCTCAAGTATATTTTAGGATCACAAAAATACAGATGTTGTTAAGTGGGCGTTTATATTTGTACGGTCGATCGTTTTTACATGCATGAGAACATTTTAAGGGGATTTGTCCCCTTGAGTTCAGAACCAGACATAGTAGTTTTACAAGCTGTGACTAAATACAATGACGGCATTTGTGAGAAACTAAGAAAGTAATACAAAATTATATTTAAAGTCTGTATCGTATATTAAAGTCTGGGCCTAGTAAGGCACAATTTTAAAGCTACAAGTAAAGAACTGTGCTATAACGTTTATATATTTTTTGAAACAGGGCTACGAGGACGTGTCGGGACAGTGTTTTTACACTGGGAATGATGGGAAATCGTGAGAAGATGGGGTCTTGTTAACAACCATTATTAGCAGCTTCCATATCAGGCCTATTTAACAGGCTGTAGATTTTGCTTAATAATCTGTTGCTGTAATTAATATCCCAATCACTCAATCCGACCTCATTGTCATGTATTATATTTCTGCTCCATTATGAATGTATGAATTGTTCTGTGTGTATGTGTGTGTGCGTTGTTGTTAGCATTGTTTTCCTTTTCTTTTTTTTCCCTATCCATCCATGCATTTCCTCGGTGGTCGTTGATTATTTATCAACACTTCTCCATCGCTCTGGTTTACGTTTCTTTTCTGATATTGTGTACGCGTCTTCGCAGATTTCTTTGATGGCCTCCATGTCATGATTGAGTTTTTGTATTATGTATTTGTTGTAAGTATATATAAAGCTTGTATTTACTGATGCCTTATGGTCCATGGCTTAGCGACTGGTACACATCACAAGCTCTTTCTTTGCACTCATCCTTTATGAAAATATATGAAAATAAAAAGGTGTTGATTTTGGACTTTTGTTTTTCGTTCGTCATTTCTTTTTACTCCTTGTCATGATTCATGTTTTATGTTGATAAAAAAAAATCTATATTACATTATTTAAAAGCTTTAAACCTGACAAGTTCTTAAGTGGTTACTGTAAGTAAAGAATGATTTGATTATAATTATTTTAACGAGTTGGATCAGGAACAGAACAAAGTTTAAAACCTTTCACTTAAACTAAGGTCACAATTTTATATAACCACCAAAAAAAAAATGACTAAACTGCATCATAAATATTTGATAAACTTGATAAATTTAGAAAATGTCTGTATTAAACATTTTGCTAATTAGATTTATATCTAATTTATCCTAAGAATTCATAACTGTGGTTTATACAGATTGGAGATAAACATGGTTTAACAGGTTAAAAGGAAAATTCAGTCATCATTTACTCTCCCTCTTGTTGTTCCAAATCTGTATGAGTTTCTTTCTTCTGTTGAGCACAAACAAAGATATTTTCAAGAATATGGGTAACCGAAGAGTTGACGGTTGCCATTGACTTCCATCGTACGGAAAAAAATACTGTGGAGGTCAATGGCTACCATAACTAGCTGTTTGTGTTCAGCAGAAGAAAGAAATTCATACAGGTTTGAAACGACATGAATGGTGAGTAAATTATGACATTATAATTTTTGGGCAAACTATCCTTTTAAAACCTTTGATCTGTCACTTTTTGGTTAAACAGAATGCCCAAGACACTGCAAAGGCTCAGCATCCAGTGGTAACAATTTTGTGTATTTAAAGAGACAGTTCACACAAAAATGAAAACTGTAATTTTACTCTCAAATCGTTGAAAAACGATATACAGTAAGATTCTTTGTAAACAAAATGTAAGTTCTGAATAATATACTGTTTTTTTTTCTTCATGCACTTTTTCTGTTCCACAGAAGAAAGTAAGTCATATGTGTTTGGAATGATATGAGATAAAATTTTCATTTTGGGGTGAACTATCGCTTTAAGGATCCAGGCAGCAAACGCCACCTGACTGCAAATGTCAAACATCACATCTTCATTGGCTAGTCTTTCTAATGAGAGAAATATCTGCTCCTGTTGCTCCCAATTTCTCCCTCAGCTGATGAGTTTAATTAGGTCAAATCACTGTTTAAAACGTGAAATGAGGTGAGCCTAAAATTCACTACAAATATGTGGCTCAAATGGGGCTTAATGGCTTATTTTAAATATCGTGGATTGATATTAATATTTTAAATATATAAAATATGATTAATATTAGTTATATTATGTAAGTATTATGCTTCAATTTTATAATATAATATATAATAAATATTTTACACGTATATAATGCCTCATCTAAGTACAGTTAGTTAGACAATTAGTTAAGTATGTCAATGCAAAACAGATGATCTAACTGATTATAACCAAAATTGGCTTAAAACAAATTGGCTTTTTAAAAAGCCTTGGTTTCACTCATCACATAGTAATCACATAAAAACTGGCCTGAAGAAATATGCAGAGAACAAACTGACCTGAAACCTCCTTCAAGAAGCACCTCTGAGATCCTCCAATTACAAGCAGATAAACTAATTGAATTCCCTGGATCAGAGTCAGATGAGGGTTAGTGGTTAAGAAAGACCCATGGAGAACTATCATAAAATACCATAAATTGCCAAACCACACAAGATTATTAGCAGGGGATCCCTAATTGAATCAGGAGCAGTGAGCAAAGAAAGAGTGTGGTAAAGGAAGTGAAATTGGATGTTGTAATTAGCTGTCTTATCAGTGCACACAGATATGCATGCTGTATATATTTCATATTAATTTTACAGTATATCTGTTTCAAAACCAAGTGAGCTGACTGCAGAGGGGGCATTTTAAGGCATCATAAACATGTGCGAAGTCTTTTCAGAAAGGTA